AATTTATTTGGGCTACATCTCATCTGACAAACTATATGAAAAATGAAAAACAACTTTTCCTTTTCCTGAATTGTCTTTTTCCTATATCAGAAAAAAGATGTCTTCGAGTCGGAAGCATCATTTGAAGGTAAAACAATGACTTAGGTTTGTTTCTGAGAGAGTCGTTGCTTTTCTTATTTTGGTTTATAGGCAGTTGACGTCCAAGTACTTCATACTGTTAGTTTGTTTGTTTATTAATGTTTTTTTCAACAGAGTTTGATGCTTTCCATCGCCAAAGATTTGCTGGAAGAGGAGGAGATAGAACGAGAGGAGGAGAGGGGGAGGTACATGGCTGAGAGCTGTCCTCCTCCTTCTCTGCCACGGAGCATGCAGGAACTGCAGGTATGTCAGTCACATGTGTTGCAATTACCAATACAACATCCATACAATTCTTGAAATTCTTTACCTACTCACCTGGACATGGTCCTGTTCTGTGTTGTTGTTCAGGAACTGTGTAGAGAAATCCATCGCAAAATCGACAAGACTGATGAGGAGAGATATGACCTAGAGATGAAAGTCAACAAGACCAACAAAGAGGTGAATGATACTGAACAGATTAATCTTTTATATTCTGCAAAACCCCTGTCAAAACAATACACACTTGCATCTACTGTTACTACTAACATTTGAACTAAATTGGCTGTACTGCCAGTAAATATGGAATAAAATTTATATCATATTTACCTGTAAATAGGGTCATCATTAGAACATTAGAATTAGTATTAGAATATTCTAAATAAATGTAGTATTACATCATTAAAGTCTGTTGTATATAATTCCAGCTTGAATGCTGATTGATGCCTATGATATCCTCAGTATAACCTTCATGTTCCAGATTGATGATCTGAAGATCAAAGTTCAGGACCTGATGGGCAAATTCAAGAAGCCTGTCCTAAGGAAAGTACGAATGTCTGCAGACGCCATGCTTAAAGCTCTGCTGGGTTCCAAGCATACGGTCAACCTGGACCTGAGGGCCAACCTGAAG